CCACACCTGGGGCACGAGCATCCTGTTTGCATCTCACCTGCACTGCCTGCCCAGGGGCTTTCAAAGCAGCAGCAGCAATTTCCTGGAACACGTAGGAAGGCTCTACCCAGGACAACAGAAGCACGAGTTACCTGTATACTATACCTATTATTTGATAGTGACACCATTTAGAAAACAAAAACCAATAATTTTTATTAATTAAATAATATTTATTTAGACTTGCTCATGGAATAAATATCCAACTGTAATAAAGAAAAGGCAGAGGACACATCAAAAAACCCAACAAGTCTTTAAACTACTTGAGGTTCACTTGAACTTACACTTCAGAAGTTGCTGACGGCCACGTGTGGCACATGAGGACCACACCAACCCTACACCTGTCACCTCTGGGCCACCTCCACCTGCTACTGGTTGACACACACTCGGAGCACACACTTTAGACGGAAGATGCATCTGCCCAGGTCCTATGCTCTGAGAGCAATGTGAGGCTGCAGTGAGTTAGGCTGATGCTATAGCATTCTAGCCTGGACAACATAGCCAGATTGTCTCAAAAAAAAAAGTGTAAGGTGAGGGGGAATGCAAATACATTTTTTTAAAAGAAACTTACAGAGCCAGGCACAGTGACTCATGCCTGTAATCCCAGCACTGTGGGAGGCTGAGGTGGGAGGACTGCTTGAGCTCAGAAATTTGAGGCTTGTCTGAGGGAGAGTGAGACCCCAACTCATGAAAAAAATTGAAACACCTAGCTGGGTGCCACAGCAAGTGCCTGTAATCCCAGCAGCTTTGGAGGCTGAGGCAGCAGGATGCCTAGAGCCTGAGTCTGAGGTTGAAGTGAGCTAAGACACCACTGCACTCTGCTCAGGGCACAGGGCAGAACTCTGTCTTGACAAAAAAAAAAAAAAAAAGTTAATGTCATGGAAAAGGCAAAGGCAAAGAGACAAATCTACAGGCGAGGAGGCTGAAAGGCCTGAGGAGCTGATGCAGCTTGTGACCCTAGATCCAAAGCAGAATCAACAGGTACCAGACACTTATCAGTGCACGTTCTGGAGACAGTGGGAAAACAAGAAAACGAACTCGGTGTTAAGTACAATAGGGTTGGTGCTCAAGTCAGCAACTTAACGTTTCCATGGTTATGTGGAAGAACATCGTGCTCTCAGGGTCACGGTCTTTCCAATGGATCAGTGAGAAAAACTTGCCTGAGGAGAGACTGACACACATGTGGCCGGCAAGGGCTGACCGGGTGGAAATGTAAAAGTGTTCATTCTATTGCTCTCTCCACCCTCTGGAGGGTCAGCAAAAGTGAGAGTTGGGTTTTGAAAAGACGGATAAAATGTCCACAACTCTGTGCAGGAATAACAGAGAGGAGGGAGAAGGTGCCTGCCCAGTGCTGGGTGTGAACAGAGGAGCCCACTGACAGACAGCCAGACACCGACAGATCAGTAAGAGGGCCTGCAAACTGCTAAGTTTAGTTGAAACAGACAGATTCCTACAAAAATATGTTAGCAAAGCTTGCCCAAGAAGAGACAGAAAAACCCAAATAGCTCTTTAACCAGGAGAGAAACTGGTTGATAGGTTAGAAGCCCAAGATCGCCCCACAAACAGAACATCACCCAGACAGCTTTATTTGTAAGTCCCACTAGAAACTCAGACCCCAAATACTTCAAACCTTATGAAAAGTATTCTCATGTATATGAAGAAGAAACACTCCCAACTTACTTTCTATGGCCACAGATACAGTGATCGCTCAAAGGCAAAGACAGTGAAAAAAAGGAAAATCTCAGGCCAATCTCGCTCATGAGCATGAGTCTACAATACTAAACAGAACAGCAGCAAACTGAATAAAACCACCTAAGAAACAGATCGTGCATAACACAAATAGGTCACCCCAAGAATGGACAACGTACAGAATTATCAGAAAGTCACATAATAGCAATGTATTATCAACTATAGGGAGAAAAAAATGACCATCTTAATAAACACACACAATAACAGAGAAAAATCATTAAATCAATCTACTCATGATTCTTTTTGAAAAAACGAAGCCAGTAATAGAACTTTCCTAATATGATGAAGACTCTTGTTTTTGTTCTTACAAAAAGCCTCAAATACAGGATGTACTCCCCAGAGTTAAAGGGGACACAATGTCCCCTCTGTAGCGTGTCCTGCTACGAAGGCATCAGCCAACACAGCAAAAACAAGCAGCAGTAGGCTCAAATCGGAAAGAGAGAAACTGTCACTTTGCAGAGGATATCACAATCTGTTAGTAAAACCCACAAGTATGGAGGGATAATTTATTAGAAATCAGTGACAAAGTTAGATGGTTGGCAGATACAACATACACACACAAAACTGACTGCCTTTCCATACATCCCAATCAAAAATTAGAAACATAGGCTTGGTGCCCATAGCACAGTGGTTACGGCACCAGCCACATACACTGAGGGTGGCAGGTTCGAACCCAACCCCAGCCAAAATGCAACAAAAAAAGCCAGGTGTTGTGGCAGGCGCCTGTAGTCCCAGCTACTTGGGAGGCTGAGGAAAGAGAATCACTTAAGCCCAAGAGTTAGAGGTTGCTGTGAGCTATGATGCCATACCACTCTACCAAGGGTGACATAGTAAGACTCTATCTCAATTAAAAAAAAAAAAAAAGACATAATTTTAATAGTAAACATTATTATAATAGTATCAAAAATATAAAGTACTTGGGAATAAGTCTAACAAGTGCAAAACCTTCTGAAGAAAATTATGAAATTGTACTGACATGTGAGAAGATCACAGTTTAGAAAACTCTGTGTCGCGGAGACGTTTCCTCTCTCTCGCCAGTCTATCAAAGTAACGCAATTCCCAGAGGGGTCCTCCTGGGACTGGGCATCTTGACTCAGCAGTTTCACAAAAGACCGGACCAAGATACCACTGAAGGACAAGGTGGCAGACGCACCCTTGTCCTCAGATCCAGGAAGTGCTGAGAACCTGACTCATGAGAGCTGGAACTAGCACAGAGGTAGGCCCGGTCAGTGGGAGGACAAACTCAGAAGCCCACACAGCATGGAGACTTATTTTAGCTGAGGGCTGGCATTAAATGGTAACAGAATAGGTAAGTATCCAACTGTAAAGAAATGAATTTGGAGCAGGCCTGGTGGCTCATGCCTGTAATCCCAGCACTTTGGGAGGATGAGCCAAGAGGATCATTTGAGACCAGGAATTCAAGAGGAACCTGGGCAATACTGGGAGACCCCATGTGTACAAAAAATAACATAACATAAAATAAGAGTAAGTCAGTAAGTCTGACCTCTGCCTAACACTACATATGAAAACCTGTTCCAGGTAAATCAGTGATCTCAATATAATGGACAGAGAACTTGTGGGAGAACATATGGCAGAGGATGTTTAGGGCCTGGGCGTAAGGAAAGTCTACAGCACAAAGCACTCTCCTGCGTAGATTAAAAAACAAAATGAAACAAAACAGAAAGCAAGCCACACATCAAGAGACTCCATAAAGGGATAAAAAAAAAAACAAAACAAAACAAAAAATCAAGTCATAAATTCAGAGAAAAGAGAACTTAAAAATGTTAGAATATAAAGAATTCCCTCAAACCAGCAAGAGCCAGGTAAACCCCCACCACCACCACCAGCGAGACATGGACAGGAGAGAGCGGCCTCAGGGCCCCAGCTATCGGAAAAGACACTCGGGGGCACCCACAGTGGTCGGGGGCGGGCAGCTTAGAGCAGGACCAGACAGGAACCCGCACAAGGGGACTGACAGAGGACAAGTGGCGGTGGGAAGGAACTCAAACTCGGAAAGAAGGAAGGGACGGGACGCTACTTTTTCAAGTGGGCTGGAAGACGCTTGGCAGGTTGTTGTATCACTTCTCTGCACTCTGCTTCTGTCGTAACTGCAGCTTTGAGCCTCCTCCATATTTGGTAACAACAATTAAAAGCGGGTTGCTATCTAGACCCACACGGGAGGAATGGCCTGGCCTAGGGAGGAGCCCCACTGCAGTCACTCACTCCTGTGGAGGTCTGGAAGGTCTCCTCCAGGCCTCCAAGAGCTCACCCACACACATCGTCACCTCTGCCAAACACAGGCTGAGAAGGCGGGACAGGGACACCGACTAGGACTCACTATGAGAGAGAGAGAGAGAGTGGGGGTCAGGTTTGAGTGCCATCCCTCTTGTACATGTAAATCCTCACTGTGACACGAAGAGGCGGCTTCCACAAAAGGAACTGGAGCATAGGAAAGTGCCCGCTTGTCATCCACGGTCCAAACACTGGGCCACAGCTGAAACCTGGACTCGCATCCCCTGAATCCCAAGCCACCACTCTCCCCCAAGAACTGCCGTGCAGCATGTGGGGACAGAGACATGCAGCCACTGCTCTGGCGGGACCCACGTCCCCATTTTGGCAACTGGGACTGGGATGGGATGAACCACAGCTGGCCTTCAGCTGCCTCTCTCTTTCATCTGGTCTTTGGCCCGGGCACTGCGAGGGGCTGGTGATTCTGACTCTAGTCAGGGACCTGCCTGAAGATGGCCTGGAACTGGCCCCTCAGAACACACAAGGCTCATGTTCTAAGAGCACCACTGACTCTTGAGGGAGGAGTGATAAAGCTGAGACCCTGAGTTGTTCATATTAGCAGGCAGGCACACAGGTCCTTCCTCAGAGAAAGGCTCCTCTCACAGCAGGAGGAATAAAGCACCCACGCTCTATCTCCAGATAGTCATTCAGTAACAAGTTTCACAACAGAGACAACACCTTTGTCTGATTATTATTGGACTTTTCTCACTGAAATAGAAGTAATTCAAAACTTCCCACCAGACCGCAGCCCGGGTCCCTGTCACCGACTGCACTTCGGTCAACAACATGGAACCAATACCAGCAGCTCAGCAGTCCAGTGCTGCGGCCACCTGCCACACAACAGGGTGTCCAGCGGGAACAGAAGGGACAGTGAGGGCCCCTTGTGGAAGACCCAGACCTCCCACGGGAGAGACTGTGGGACACACCTTGTTGAAGACCCAGACCTCTCCGTTGGCTGTGGGCCGGGGCACGCCATGGCCATTGTAGTGGAAGAGGACCCGCTCCTCCTTGGCATTACGACGTAGGGACGTGCATAGCTTCTTGACCTCGTCCACGGTGGGGTCGAGGCTCTGCTTGTACCGGGCCTATTGCAGGGGAAAAAATGAAGACATTGGTTAGGGACCCGAGGGAATAGCCAGAACGCGTCCCACTTCACTCTGGGTTTGCATCTAATAGCTGTGTGGGCCTGGAGTTTCTCCATCCATAAGACTGGATAATGACCATGTCATAGGGTGGTGGTGAAAACTGACTCAGCCACTCAACAAACACGTACTGAGAACTTCTATGAACTACTGTGAAATACATAAGTAAAGCCTGTCAAACCCGGCCGCCACCGTGCTATCAAAAGTTTCTCAGAAGAGAGGAATCACTCTGAACACAGCATCAGAAACAGAAGGAAGCTGCAGTGCCGAGGCAGCAGCGGCAGAGGGGTCAGGGAGAAGGCAGGGCAGCCGGCTCCTGCCCCCTCACGCTGTCCCTGCAGAGAGCCATACCCACCTCCTCTCGCCTGGACCCTTGCTGAGGACTGTGAAGACTGCGGGGAGCATAAAAATCAGTGGCATTCATACAAACTATGGAGGGCATCACAGCAAAGAAACTCCACTTACCAGACAACAAAGAGATTACACGTCTAGGATAAGCTTAACATGAAATGTACAGAACTTAGACACGGAAACTCTAAATCTCTCCTGGAAAATACAGACGCTGCTTTAAACAAAGGGGCAGATACCCCCTGCTTGGGTCGGATGTGTGAACATCCTCAAGACGTCAGTTCTCCCCAAGTTAACACTCAAACTCAGTGCATCCCCAGTAAAAATCCCCACAACCTATTTTATGGAGTTAAACACA